TACTGGAGATGTCAACTTCAGAAGAGGAGAATAAGGGATGTTCTCACACTCAGCATATATTTATAACGCATATGCCATTTTAGATTAAAGTAAACCGTCTGTGACAACTGACCGGATTTAAACAAACATTAAGTGCGACACAAGCACAGTGAACGCCTGAAGCTATGCCCATGAGAGAAGCCAATTCAAACAGCTCACCTGAGGTGTTTTTAGCTGTTTGGGTGTAAGACGCTTAAATAAGGGACAAAATGCATCCTAGATGGATTTAATATGAAACGCAAGTCCGTTCCCTTCAGTCCGGAATGATTCCTTATTAGAGCGGATGGCAGCCCTACTCATTACAAGCATTTCCTTGTTTGTCTATGATCTTGTCTACCTCTGTTACATCTTTACTCTCTCTCTCTTCCTTATGCCAGTCCTGTTACTCTGTATTTCATCATTTAGCTCTATTTCTGCCATATGAATGCCTTATCGCCCATGTGTCATATCGCCACAGTAAATCACAGGTGTTTAAGGATATTCTCCAGAGGAGCGATTTCGCTTAAATTGGTTCAGTGAATCAGTGGATTCTGGCCAATGTCTTCTGAGAGATGAAGCACAGAGCCGGATAATGAGAAGGCCTAATCAATCACTAAACGTCTGCTGTAGGAGAGATTTGAGGAGCCCTCTGACCACACACACTACTGCTTTTCAGTTATAGACTTCTATTGTTTTAAATGGCTTATGACATTTTCTATCCTCTTACTCTAAACCTAATCCTCACACAAAGCTTTTTGCACTTTTAGATGTTAATTAAGTCGTTATTTAGTGTGTTTATTAAGACATTTTCCAAGTGGGGACTGTTGGCTGATTTACATAATGCATAAGATTTCAGGTTTTAGTTTCCTTCTGAGCAGTGGCGCCTGCAGACGTACGGTTTTGCATACTACGTGTATACCATAAGATTGAATAAATTTTTTTTTTACATACATTTTAAATTGATTATTAATCTATCTGTGTACACTCATGACATATTAAGAAGTCAAATGTGTGTATGTGCGTGCATGGGTGGGGGATGGGTAAAAATCAATTTGATTGGCTAGTTTAGTTTTGTTGAATTTTTCCACACTCAAAAAATGACATTACAGATAGTTAATGTTTAAAACCAGGTTGAAGTAAATACGCTCATTCAAGGATGTGCATTTATTGCTTGCACATCCTTATATATACATATAAATAACCACAACAATAACAAAAACACTGAAATAAGAGTGTGCAGTTTATCTGTCAGTCATGTGCGTGAAACTTGTGTTTGTTACTAACAAACCTTGCACATTTTCTTTCAGAACCATCATTGGCCGGTAAAAAGAAAAATAGAATACATACAAGCTTTTTATTTAAAATTAAGAAAAGTTAAAGACCCACGCGTCATGTTAGGTATGTTATGAAATATCCGGTACAGAAAAAAAATATTATGAATAATGCAATGAAATTTCAATCACCTGTGAACTAGCCAGAGAAAGAGAACAATCAGGGAGTGAGTGACTGGAGGTAAAAGCTTTTTATTTATTTAATTTTTTCATTCATTTTTTTTAATCTTTTTTAAAATGATTTAACTGCTTTTAAAACAATATTTATCTTGTTTTTTTTAGATACAAATGTAATAATTTTATTTTTGTGGATATCCCCATATTGAGACTTTTTTCAGCTTTAGCTTTATGCTTTGTAATAAAAGAGTCTTTCTCATGTACTGTACAATACAGTTGTGTAGCATTGTTTGAAGATTTTTTGTAACTCTTTCTCACACACATCCAACAGCCTCTCTCCTGCAGAACTGTGGGATATTGTGTAAGTGCTTTATGGATGTGTGTTAGCAAGGCATGTTTCCTCCGCCTGTTACATCAGAGCTGGGATTTTAATCAACTCGCTGTATTCCACACACACTCCATAAAAACATCTGTAGCCAGCTCTGAGATAACATTTCTAGCATATCCCCAGAGCTTCTGATGTGTTTGGGTTTCAGGTTAGAGGATATTTGATGTCAAATGTAATGACATTTTAAGGATTTATGGGCAATCTGCTTATTTATTGTAATCTGTGAATTGTGAAGTTAAAGCTACTCTAAGTGATTTCTGTGCTCCAAATGGCATTGCAAAAGTAATGGCCGTTTGCAAACAGATGTTCCAAACATTCCCCCATCTTCCAATTTATATCTAAGTTTGCAGATGTTTTTATCTAAATTGTCTGACATTGCATCTGAGATATAAATTTGATCAGTTATTAGATTTCCTGGGAATCGAACCCATGAGGGCATTGCTACAGTAGCTGCAAATTTTCTGTCTGGCTGCTATAAAAAGATCTGCTTTCATAGATGTGCTTGTCGGATATGAAACTGATATGAAACCCCAAATGTACACATTGAATTCAACGTCAGTCACTTTGAAATACAGGCAAAACCATCCAATGGCAAACAAATCCATACTAGTAATTCAAAAGTCACAAGAATGAAAACAATGGTCATAACAGTAATCATCAACAATGGTATGGGAGAACTCTTAGAAAAGGCAGTAGAATGGCAATACTTAGCAATGTGGGAGTGTAAAAACATGGCTTAAATACAAGCTGAACTGGAAATGACATGACAGGATCTGATGTGGCAGAACCAGGAAGTGACAGAGTTACAACATCTGATCAGATGTTACAACTATAAATGCTGGTTAAAATTGTGGGCCCTATCATACACCAGGCGCAAGGAAAGTGTTTTTTGCTAATGTCAGCCTGAGCTGAAATAGCAAATGCATTTGCACCCATCTGTTTGCCCATGGGCATGCAGTTCTGGTCTGAAAACGAGGTGTGTTGTTGGCAACTGAGGCAACTGAAATAGACTGCACCATTGACCAACAAAAACCTGGTCTAAAGTCAATGGTGCAGTATTTTTTTTATTATTATTTAAAGGGCTCATTATTAAAATGCGCCTATAGGCGGGTGCACAACGCGCATACACTCTGCTTATAGCACACACAGGGACGCAGCAGCACACAAATATGCCAAATATAAAAATTTAAAAAAAGGATTACATTGTAAAAGATTAGTATTGTGTACATAAAGATATGGTGGAATCCGAGTTAGATGTAGTCTACTTGCGCGCTTTAACCTCGCGCACGAGCTGATCCGTTTCCTCTCTGGAGACGCGTTCAGTCTTTCCAACGCATTCTCATCCTTTGGCGTCATATAGGTGACGCCATATGACATTTCGTCAAAATCTTACGCACATGGCATCCTTTAGCGTCAATATAACATGCACTGTTATGGGTAGGTTTAGGTCTGGGGTAGGGTACGGTAATGACGCCTTGGGATCTGCGTCTCATATTGACGCTAAACGATGCCATGTGCGTCGGATTTAGACGAGCGTCACCTGTATGACGCCTTGGGTTCTGCGTCTCATATTGATGCTAAAGGATGCAATGTGCGTAAGATTTCGACGAAATGTCCAAAGCGTCACATGTATGACAGCAAAGGATGAGAACGGGCTGGTCTTTCCGCTCGCAAATTCCGCCATGTCGAATAGCAACTGGCTTTTAAAGGGAATAGGAGATGAGACTCTGATTGGTTTATTGCACGTTACGCCCAAAACACACCCGTTACTCATTAAGAGAATAGGGACAACCCTTTAAGACCATGGCCGGGCATGCCGACCATTTTTCCCCTCGTTTAACTAGCAAAAGTGGATTTGGACACGGCCTTAGTGCACTTGCGCCGTGTGCTTTATGCCATGCGCTTAGATCATTAAAATAGGGCCCTTTATGTTAACAACATTGATTGGACAAATATAAGCAAAAAACAAAAAACAATCTATATTGTTAAAAGCGCTATATAAATGAAGGTGACTTGACTTGACATGCCTGTTTTAATACTCAGACTGTCTCATTACTTCAATGCATTTTTAGCTGCTTCCCTCGGACTGTAAAAATATATAAAATTTGATGAGGTAAGCACTGAGGAGGTTTATGATTGGTTGTCTCTTGTTACATACTCCACATAGTCTCACACTAAATAAGCTTGGCACTAGGGTAAAAACGAGCTTTTATCTCATTAACGTGTGAAAAGTCCTAGAAACCCATGTCATTTCTCAGGATTACTTTTTCAGTGGTTTCTTATAATTTAATACCTAGACATGTCAGGTAGTAGAGGGACATTTTGTGCTTGATACGTGCCTGATATTCAAAAGCAATTTAATTTTTCCAAAAGTTGACCACGTGACAGAAAAATGTTAAGAGTTGTTTTTCCTGTGCATATGCTGTGGAGGTATAGATGAGTGAATGATGGAAAAAAAAAACAGTAGAGAGAGAGACTAAGGCATTCCCTTCTAAACTGTCTTCTTTAGACAGGCTTGAAAACAGAACACTGTTATATTCACACTATGTTCTTTTCTGTAATTCGGTGAATGAATATATTTTTATTTTATTTTCTCTCTGAACCCCTCTCAGTTAGACTCCATCTTAAATTCCTAAAAGCAGGGCTTGTTCTCTCTGCAGACAAAAACTTAAAGCCACACTTTAATTGCCTTATAACACAACAGCTAAGCTTTTTTTTTGGCTTCACATAGTCATTCTAATTTACATAGATATTCGAATTCTGTTGTCCCCCAAAGGCTTGTTAAATCGTCCTGAAAGATAAATGATCACAGCCTTACAAAGAGGGAACTCCTTTTAATTTTAACAAATAATTTCTGGTCTTTAATGGTTCACATTTCAAAAAGAAGTGGATCAGAAATAGGCTGACAAAGCAATTGGCTCCTAGGCGTTTAATGAGGGGGCAAAGGTGGCACTAACTTTCCCGTTTTCCCTTAATTGCTTGTCTTTCATTATGTCCCCTTGACACTCGCTCTGCATCTAATTAATATCGGATGAATATTCAGCGTAGGCCAGGGATCCTTCATTGTTTGGGTGTGTAGAATTAGAACAAGAGTATAGGAAGGTGGAAAAGAGCTGCGTCTGATAAAGTGTGTATCTTTCCCACAGCGGGCGGCACTCAAGTCGGAGAGCAGACTTTGATTGACAGCTGACTGTGGATAAGCTCCTGACAGTTCACTCTGAAGTCCAGCACGCTGAAGGAGCTCTCAGGTGAACACTATAAAACACAGGGTGGAACACGTTAACCTACTGCCTTAATTCAAATCGCTAGCAGAAAATTGATCACAGAATGATTTTATAGGATGAATCGATGTGGGGACAATTCTTGTGACTTAATAATTATCTGGATGAATGCAAGAATGAGGGAACTAAATAGTTAAGAAAATCCATGAGAGAATTAGTTAATTATTTATTTATTAATTTTTTTAAATTAATGTATAATTAATTCAGTGAGTGATTAAATTATTGTAAAATGGGAGCCGCAAGTGAGAAAATGTCTGTGAAATGAATGGATGAATGTCAAAAAGTGAAGAGTGAGTAAAAGAATGAATGAATAAGAGAATGTATTAATTAATTGTTTAGATTACACTTTATTTCGATTTTCCACTTTAGACATTTACTGACATAATAGGTAACTTTCCAACTACATGTCAACTAACACTCATTCATTAGCATCTCATTAGAGTATTAGTAGACTGTTATGTTTGGGTTAGGATTAGTAGAATTTAGTATAAATTGGAATTATAGTAGAAGTTGGCATGTACTCGCAAAGTTACTTTAGTCAGTATAGAATGTCTGTTGGGGGACCATCAAAATAAAGTGTTAGCAGATGTTAAAGGGATAGTTCACCCAAAAAAATCGAATTATCCCATAATTTACTCACCTTCAAGCCGTGTATATGACTTTCTTCTTTCAGCCAAACACAATCAGAGTTATATTTAAAAAATCTTGGCTCTTCCAAGCTTTATAATGCGAGTGAATAGATCCTGAGTTTTTGAAGCTCCAACGCGAGTCTAGTTCCGGTGGAAGAGTGAACTTTGACCCGATGCATGACGTAATGATGAACACGGAAGTGCAGAGTATTGAGTAAAACAAAACACCGGACACAAATTAGAAGCCTAAAATAAGAGGAGCTTGAGTTTGTTGTCCAGCCCAATTTGTTTGAACCGTGAGAGGCGTCTACTCTCACCTAAGCTTACGATACTCCTACATCCTACGTCATACATCGGGTCAGAGATCACTCTTCTGCTGGAACTCGACTCACATACGGCCGTTTCCGGGAAGCCAGTGATTATAGTTGCATAAAGTTATAAATATTATAATATATATTATAATATTATAATATTTTTTCGAACAAATACGCACCGCTTCGTTTCAGAAGGCCTTTATTTACCCCTTGGAGCCGTATGGATTACTTTTATGATGGATGGATGCATTGGATCCCATTATAAAGCTGGGAAGAGCCAGGATATTGTCCGATAATAACTCCGATTATAATTGGCTGACAGAAGAAAGTCATATACACCTAGGATGGCTTGAGGGTGAGTAAATTATGGGATAATTTTAATTTTTGAATGAACTAACCCTTTAAGTGGACAGTCTACTAATAACTAGTTGACATGCAGTTGCATTTATAGTTTATAGAATGTCGAAAGTGGACTATCAAGTTTATTCATTAATTAAATAATAAATTAATTAATATTTGATACATTAATAATTATAAAAAAATTATTACAATAAATTAATGAATTCAGTAGTTTTTTAATCCATTATTGGATAATGAATTCAGTGAATGTTAATGGAGTAACAAGTGAAAAAATGGCTGAAATGAATGAATATGAGAATGCATGAATGAATTAATGTATGATCGACTGAGTGATTCAATGAGTTATTCAGTCATTGTGAGAGAGAGAGCATGTCACTTGAGGAGCAAGTGAGAAAACAACTGACTGGATGGTTTAATGACATTCGAAATTAATTAGCAGTTTATCGAGTGAGTCGGTAAATTAATGAGTCAGTGAATGAGCAAGAGAACGCGTGAATTAATTAATATGCAAATGAATGAGGGAGCCAGTAAATGAGTACGCATGTAAATGTGGGAGTGACGAATGAGTGAATGGATGGATGGATGAAAGCCTGACTGAAGAAATTAGCGTGTAGTTTATTGAGTGAGTGAGTAAGTGAGTAAGTGAGTGAGTGAGTGAGTGAGTGAGTGAGTGAGTGAGTGAGTGAGTGAGTGAGTGAGTGAGTGAGTGAGTGAGTGAGTGAGTGAGTGAGTGAGTGAGTGAGTGAGTGAGTGAGTGAGTGTGTGAGGATTTTGCACAGTTTCACAAGCGAATTTATGCAAATGCTGCATGTTGAATAATGATGAGCAAGAACAATAAAAAGACTGTCGCACAAAGCTATCTTAATGTTCTTCATTCTTCCATTCTCTTTTAATCCTAATGTGGCAGTACATTCAGTACTCCCTTGACAGACATCATGGAAACTATGAAGTGAGAACGACGCTCACCTCAGGTTGAATGCATGAAGCCAGGGACTTCCTGAGAGCAAACACTCAGAGAAAAAGCCCAGAGGGAGGTTCAAAGAGGTGAAGAGGACGGCAGAATGACACAAGCCCTGCAAACAGTCTCAGGGACCCTGTTAGGACACACCATTAGAAAGTTTTTCAAAATGAGCACTTGCCACTCCTGCTTGTTGTCTTGTTTGTTTATAGAGCAAAAAGACAATAAACAAAAGAAAGAAAGACTCACTCCCTCTCTCAGTACTTCAATTCCACAAAGCCAAAATCCATACAGTACCTTGACACACAGGTGGATGTGTGACTGTGTAACCAAGAGGCAGATTAAGCTTTAGTCTTAACAGTGAAGGGCCGCAATTGCGCGGAACAGTGTTGAATTTAGTGACATTTGGCTCGCCTGTAAATTCAGTTGAAGAATTAGCAGCTTTTTCCACCTTTTTTTTTCACCGAGCCAGAGGAACAGCTGCAAGCATGAGGTTTTCTTTAGAGCTGAATGGTCAAGTCAAAAGCAGCCTTGTTTACGTGCTAGAAATGAGGCAGAACACACAAACTGTGTCAACTATTATATATCCTTTCAAGTGGCTAGTTTAGTGAAAGAACTCAAAGAGATGTAGGACCTTCAGCACTAAAGCAGTTTCTTATCCATTTATTTGTTTGCTTGTTTGTTTATTTATTTATTTATTTATTCACTGTGTATGTGTGTGGGCAATGAAAGCCGTTGGATTTTTTTAGCAAGTAAAGTTTACAAACAAACAAACAAATCCTAATTAGCAGTCTCTCACAACATTCCTCAGCAAGTACACACTCACAAACTTGCGACATAATTATGGTTTAAGTGGCCTGAATGTCAAAAAACACAGGATTTGTCGGATGACATATAAAAAACAGAACAGGAGCCCTCAGTAAGTTATTTTTATTTATTTATTTTTCATATGAGGGTCCGCATATGGAGGGTCGGCGACCCATACACCCCTCAACATTTTCTGTGCTAGATACACCTTTCGTTCTCTCTCTCATCCCAGCCCATTCTCATCCCAAGGCGTCATGAAACTGACGCCTTGGGAATCATTTTGACCATGCTTCAATATTCGACGCTTTAGGCACCCTTTAGCGTCAGTTACATGACGCGATCCTAGGGCGTCATCTTACTGACGCTTTACCTTTAACGTCAGTTAGATGACGCTATCTAATCCTAACCCTACACTGTTAAAAATTGCTGTAAAAATACAGCCAATTTCCAACAGTAAAATACTGTTATTTCAATAAACAGTTTTATCCTGTAAATTTACAGTCTATGTTCCATAAATTAATTGCTTGCTGTAAATTTACAGCATTTATGTGTAAACCAATTTGTTCCTGGAAAAAACAGTCTTGGACTGTAAAAAATAGCACGTGTGGGCGGGGCATCTTCAACGCGGTCTTTTTTCGAACAGAAAGTCAAAGAACAAAATGGTTTCGCAACACTCCTGCTGTCTTAAAGAAGGCCACTGTTCAAGGTAAGTTTATTTCTTTGCTGTTATTCTATTGTGTTGCTCCAGAGTACCTGTAAAATCGCCTTTTTCATGAGGTATTTTTTTTTAACTGCTTACTGAGCGCGAATCGCGTTTTGAAGACAGAGCTCGACGGTTGAGACATTTCGCCTAGCTGCTAATGAATGCTCTCTGAGCTCCGATTACTAACGTAAATCTATGCGATTATTACTGCGAATTCTTTGCTTGGCTAAAGTTGTTACCATTTAGAAATTAGTTGGGCTTTCTTTTGTAGTAGCCTAACGATTTATATGAATTTGTGATTCAGTAACGTTACACGATGCGAATCTTACCAGATACATCAATTCGCATAATATCATGCACATAAGATGGAGAATAATTACAAAACAACTCGAAATATCCAGATCCAATGTTGTAATTAAAATGTAGTGGTCAATTTGTTTAGTTTCCATGCAAATAATATTAAAATTCCCAAAGCAAATTAGATATGTTTTTTTTTTTTCGATTTAGTGATGCAAGTACCTGCGTTTTTGTGAGATTCACATGTAAGTTAGGCCTAACGTTATAGTATTAAGTCAAAGAGGTTGTGTTTGAAAGACAAGGCAGAGACGGATATTCTTTGCGGCGCGAAACACGTTTTTGCAGACAGACAGTTATCAACAGCTGAGGCATTTCACTGTTCAATGTTCTCCGCACTCTGACGTCGATTTTCTTTGCTTGGTTAAAGATTTCGAAATAATTATTTTCTTCTTTTTTCCTAGGAATCCTTCACTTGATGTAAATTGTAAATGTTTTACTGAGACAGTTTGCCCTAATCTTTGGTGAGTTTCACGCCATGTATAACTTACTTGCAAACTTTGTGCACAATCATGGAGTAACGTTACCATTTTTGCATTTGATATTCCAGAAGTAACACAGAAGCAAGGATGACCGACACATGAGCTTCACAATTCTCTGTCACGTCACCATGTCCCTGGTGAACACTCTTATGGCAGTAGATCGTAAGTAATGATTTATAGTTCATTTAGTATTTATTTTATTTTTGTTTTTCTTACACAAAAATAAAATGAGTTAAAACGATTAATATTTTTATTACACACATCTATCGTTTGGCTTCAGATTTAGAAGACATTGATTCATCCACGGTGGTCTTGTGAATTAATGTTACGATCGTGGTGTTGTTTTTTAAGTGACAAAAG